CTCGGCCACCAGATTTTTGCATTGCCTGTTCCTACTGAGCTGACAAATAATGAGGTTTTTAAAACATTTTCAAACTTTAACATCCGATACCTACACTGTATGACTAGGCGGTAGAAAGAAGAGGTAGTTTTCAGAGGAAGCTTGGAACCAAAGTTTTTTTTTTTTTTTTTTTTTTTTAGAAGAGGCATTTCATTTAGAGGATTATTTATACAATGAAGACCTTATGATAAGTCATTTAATTTTTTTTCTTATTCTTCTTTTCTGCTTGGTCCATTTTTAGGTCCAGAGCTTTATGCGGGGATGGTTATGTAGAAGAAAATGGAAAACTATCGTCCAAGATTATATTTGTTCTCCCCATGCAGAAAGCATGAGAAAAAGGAATCAGATAGTTTTTAACATGGTGGAGGCTGAATCTGAATATGTGCATCAACTTTATGTTCTTGTGAACTGTTTTCTGAGGCCCTTAAGAATGGCTGCAAGTTCAAAGAAGCCACCTATCAGTCATGATGATGTTAGTAGCATTTTCCTCAACAGGTATGAGGGGTTTGGTTTGCTTTTTGGAGGTTTCTCTGACCACTTCTTCTCATTCTGCTTCAGTTTACAGTAGGGAGGCCTGGCACTTTTTTTTTTGGTCTGGTATAAGTAATGTCACTGAGGTAGACCATGTTTACAGGGGTAAAAGACAAGGTGCTGTTGGTGATGCTGCTTGCAGCAAGAGCTAGACCTCTTTTGCCTCCTTACTTCTATTTCTTCCTCTGCTAGAGGAGGAAAATGACAAATTGTGCCTCTTGGGGCAGTTCTTACAATTTTCTGTCACCTTTCCTGTTTCTTTTTCTCTTAAGAGAGCAAAATTGGACTTAGTGGCTTCATATGATCCAAATAAGACCCTGAGGATGAGTACGTCAAATCCTCTGTTTTCTGTTGCCCTGCCTAAGGAGCCTCCTTCCCTCTCACTTGTCTTTTCATATCCTACAAAAAAGGAACTATTCTTTGCATTAAATATCCAAGTGCTATTGTAATGAGTATGTACAAATAAGCCAGCAGGCATCTAACATTCGATTTGGGATTGGGATTGCATCCAAGTCTGCCCCAAACTTGTAAGAAATAGAACATGTTCCTTATGAGACAGTTAAGTTATGAGACAGGTCCCTTTCATAGTTCATTCATGATCACTGTACTATTTATGGTTTCTTGTACAACTGGCATGTCCCCTTCTTCTGTTGACCTCATAAGCTACAATGCAGTAGTAAGTTTCACGTTATAGAAAAGTTGTAAGTTTCAGTTCTTAAAGAGCAGCAAGCAACAGTGTGGATGACTACCACTGGCTTGAGGTTTCTGCACCTTACTGGTCCTCTTAAACTATTGAATGCATTGTCAAGGATATTCTTGGAAAAAACATTCATTAAACTGTGTGGAACACATTATTTAATAGATGCTTTTATTTAAAAGAACTAAACAGTTATAATATGCTTTTGACACCAAATACTATGTATTTTTAATACATATTACACTAAAAATTTTAAACAATGCAATAAAAGGAAGCACTTAATTCCATAATAATAGCTATGTTCTGTTTTTTCTAGCAAAGCACAAATCATAGTACTAACCAGGAAGAGAATTTTCTCTATGAATTATTAATCAGAAAATAAAACCTGAGTTGTCTGTTTGTTTGTTTAAATACTTGTTTTTCAGTGAAACAATCATGTTTCTTCATGAGATATTTCACCAAGGCTTAAAAGCCAGAATAGCTAATTGGCCTACCTTAATCCTAGGTAAGTTACTCTTATTTTCTCTACCGGTAAAATTTTCATATTTATTTTTGAAATTACAGTAAGGTTTGGGTATTTTTTTAAAGGCAGGACTTTTTAAAAGTCCTTTCTGAGTGGAACGTGTTTCCAGAACTAACACCACAAACTGTGCTGTAGTGGGAGTCCCAGGTGGGTGGTAATGACTGGCTTCCAGTTCGTGTATGAGAGTGCCTCTGCCCTAAGCATTGATTAAACATGGGCCCCTGAATTTTCAGCAATACTGTCTGAGTATTAACTAATCAGAACAACCATGTTTTGGCAGGTGAAAAGCCAAGTTTAATGTTTCTAAAATCCCAGTATATTGGAAACAGAACTGATTATAGTAATTCACTTCGATAGAACATAGTAGTTTCTTTAAAAATATACTTCAAGAGATGAGTGGCTGGGAAAAAAAAAAAAGCATTTCTTGACTTTTTCTAGCTGACTTATTTGACATTCTGCTGCCAATGCTGAACATATATCAAGAATTTGTTCGGAATCATCAATATAGTCTACAAGTACTGGCAAACTGTAAGCAAAACAGAGATTTTGACAAACTCTTGAAGCAATATGAAGCCAACCCAGCATGTGAAGGGCGAATGCTGGAAACTTTCCTTACTTACCCCATGTTTCAGGTAGTCTTTGTATATTTTTTGTGACTATTTGTCTTTAGTGTTTGGTTGATTCATTTTGTGTTACTGACATTCATGATTGATTGAAGATTCTTCTTTCTTAATTAAAAATACTGTCATGCAAATTAATTCAGTTATTAAGTTATTATAATAAAAATTAATTATTTATTATACTGAAACAACACTTATTTTGCTATTATACTGAAACTCTGCCTGTAGAGATCTTTTTCTCCAATTATACTGATTATTCAGAGTCTTATGTACATTGAAGGGGGATGTGGGACGAGGACTAACGCCAAAAGAAAAGAAGCTCAGAAATAATTACTGAACTTCTGCCTGCTGCAGGATTATGAAGCATTCCAGAGAGGGAAAATATACCTGGTAGAGCAAATTAGAGCAGCCACAAGCATTTTGCTAGCATTACATTTTGAAACTTTACTCCCACTTTGTTCTCTGGTGACTTGGTCTTTAGAAAATGAAAAACATATTGCCAAAGTGTTGAGAACTTTATTTATCCTTCTGATATTTTGACGTGATCTGCCTGGATTAATTATTTGCAGCTGTCTTTGTGAAGATAGCTTTGTAGCAAGAGGCCTATGAAACACTGGTCTGATGGTTTTGTGTCTTTTACATTTAACCTAACTTCTTACTCAGCAAGAGAATAGTAAACCCCCTCAGTTTGCTCAGTGACTGGCAAACCAAGCCAAATAGAGCAAAAAAAAAAAAAGGGGTGGAGGGGGAGCAGTGGCATTTGTGTTAGTGTTAGTTATTCATATTAACCTAAATGACCATTAGCATGTGTAACAATGCATTTTTTAAGATTTGAGCTTGTAAAGTTTGGGGATTTTTTGATTGAGCTGAAACAAGGTCATGGGATCTTAGAAGGGAGAGAGAGAGGATCCTATTAATATGTGGTAGAGGATGTCATTGCTGATGACTTTTTACTTCAGCATAATAAGTCATGTCTTCCTCTCCTGAATAACTTTTATTCTGTAAAGGCAGTGTTACTTGATTCTGGTTAAAATCCGTGAAACTGCTTTAGGTAATAATGGATCAGGGTCCTTGTGGTACCCTGTGGCCTTTAATAGTTAAATGCTGCATATTCTTCGATGTCCATTGGAGCAATGTGAATTTTGTCTAAATGCAAACAGGTCAGCTGGCATTTTCAAAGTCACAAGAGATTTAGATGCACGTATCCTATAAAATTGAGGGAAGGTATGTATGGATCTCCCAGGGAGTTTTGAAAGTTTCCTCTATGGGCAGTGGGGTAGTAGCATGAAACAACGAAATTTAATGTCATATTTGTGGCTGCCTCTGATCTGGTCTTTTCCTTAAAATACAATAAGTGGATCTTGTGCTTCCTCAAACTGAAAACATACATACGCATATTCAGGCTCTATCACCCAAAAATTCAGTATTTTTGGCAGTAGTTCTAATTAGAATGTATGTATAATAATTTAGCTGTGGATATTAATTTAAAAAATAGTATGTTTGAAAACTTTTGTGATCAAAGTAACGGCTAATATTTTTTAAAAAGCTGTATTGGAATTATTCCTTTAAGGACTTACGATTTTATTCCTAATTTGTTTTAAGATTCCTAGATATATTATAACACTTCATGAACTTCTGGCTCACACACCACATGAGCATGTCGAGCGAAAAAGCCTTGAATTTGCTAAATCTAAACTAGAAGAACTTTCAAGGTAAGATTTTTCTACCTCATGTCTGACAATCTTGGATCAAAGGTTTTGAAATGCAAGAAATCTATTTTGTTTATTCTGGTTTGGTTTTGTACTTTAAAAAAAAAATTCTTTTAAAGAAAAGAATCAAAACAAAACCCAAACAAAGATAATGAAAAAAAACCCAAAATACCCCAGTATAATATTTTGGCCCTTCTAGTTTTTGGGGGCTACCATAAATCTAGAAGTGTTTCGTTGTATTTTGGGTAGGGGAGAATAGGAGTTGCTATAGGGACCACCTAGTCCTGGGTTATGACCAAAGCAATTTTCTTTAACTAGAGAAATTCCCATTTTTTTTTTTTTTCACAGTTTAAAGAAAAAAGGTATTTCCAATACTCTGTGGCAATGGAATCAATCAGGGTCTTGAAAAGTACTGAGTTCTTAATCTGTGTTATAGTTCACATGTGTTCATGAAATAACTGATTTAATATGATTCAAATAGTGCCAGATAAACAGAAACTAAAGATTTATGTTGAAAAACTGGTGCCCCCTGTAGAAGCTTGCAAAAGCTTCCCTGAACTCCCAGACCATTCTCAGATGTTCCCCTGTGTCAGCCCAGGAAGAAATTCAGTTGTTATCTCTGGGAAACACAGTTTTCTGCTGTGAACAAAGAAATGCTGCATGAACTCCACGACATAAATCTTGAGTGTCCGGAGTATTCAGCAAAGATGTATTTGAAGAATATTTAATTGTAAAAAAGGGATCACTTTATAGCTTTTGTTAATTGCATGCTCTTGACTGCTCAGTTTGCTTTTTCTGTTAAGACCAAGTTGCTACCTTGTGCTAATTACCCGTTAATTTGTCGCTTTCTATTATTTCTTTTTTTGTCCTGCTGTATCTTTAACAGAGGCAGCTTTCTGAGTCAGGTCAAGTTGTGCCACTTTGTCAAGCTCTAACTTCTAGAAGAGCTGGGCAGGCAATATCTTTTACAGAAATGTCTGTGTTTGACTCCTGCAGCATTTAGCAGGTTCTGCCCTGTTCTGAGGCCATCTGAAGTAGAAAGAAGTAATGTCTCTTTTCCACTCAAGCAAAGCAGAGAATTTCTCTGGCCCAAACAGATCAATCAGCTTTGACTTGGCTTCATCTCATAAGTCAGAGCTTGTTGTGGATCCAACTAATTTGTCACTGAATGTTCAGAATTGGGGGCTGAGACTGATTGATCCTCCTCTGAGCATAAGGCAGGCAGTATAGACCATAAATATAAAGCTTTGTGACTCATTCCATCACTTTAATGTAGGTCTGAGGGAGGAGGAGCTTTCAGATAGTTCAGTCTGGTCCCAGTTTAGAACAATAGTATACATCATAACACCGTATAAACTTGTGGGTTGGTTTCAGCCTTGAAAAAAATCTGTTTTTCTCTGTGTAAGGGGAGGATGCCTACGAAAAAAAAGTGGAAGAAAGTAAGATCAAGGCTGTGGTTGTTATAGGAAGCAAGGGGGAAGTGAATGGTACATTGAGATGTAAACTGAAGCAAAGCAGACCGGGAACTTAAAGGGACTCCACGGTATGTTATGACTAATAGAAAATGCTAGGAAACACTTCCAGGTTTGTGGCAACCTCGTGTATCAAGGATCAAGAAGTACTATTCTATCAGGGATGAAGGCTTTTCAGCTTGGTGGCATCTGTCAGATGTGTTTAGGAATAGTCTGAAAGCACGTCTGGCAAAACTGGTTCCACTGCTGTAAAAAATGAAGCGATTACAAGAACGATTTGAAAGGGAGGGGAAAAAGAAGGCAAGAAACTTGCTCTAGAGTGATCACGTACTGCATGGTTAAATCTGCTTTGTAGCAGGTGGCAAAGGGCATCAGCTACCTTCTGCATCTACCATGTGTTAAGTACAAGTGAAAACAGATATAATAGGTGAAAGATACATTTCAGGGAGTTTAAATTGCATTTTGCATTGTGTCTAACAGGGTGATGCACGATGAAGTGAGTGACACAGAAAACATCCGGAAGAATCTAGCTATAGAAAGAACAATAGTAGAAGGCTGTGATATATTACTAGATACCAGCCAAACTTTTATACGCCAAGGTAAGACATTCTTCTTTGAAGCTATCTACATAATAACGCCAAAAAAAATGCATTAAAACCAGCAGGGTTGATGTTGCAGTCATTGAGCAGGTCAGTGCACTGGGCACATCGAGCATCTGGAGACCACTCATGGTACAGGGAGGGTAAGGCAAGTCACAAAATGCCCTGATGACAACTAATTTTGGGCTGCAGTTGAACCCCACGCCTATGCTGTTTTCTTCAGGAACCATGCAAAACAGCAGCACATGCGTGGTAAAGCACCCATGGGACAGTGATGTATGTTCTGTGATCTTCAAAGGGATGGAAATTACTCTGGAGACCAGGGCTGTCTGGCCAGTTCACATGGCAGCCCCAGCTGATACCAACGTTTGGGAAAAAGTACAGGAGAAGTGTGAAACTTTGTAGTGGCAAAGTGATTGCTAGGAAAGAAAAGAGCTGTCAGTTGTTCCCATGTTTCTCAGTGCTTTGGAAACATCTCAAATGGGTAGTGCGAGCATAGGTATAATACCTGAACAGAGTCACTTTGCCTCTTGAGAAATATATTTTTGTGCTTTAGTAGAACTTCAAGATATATATAAAAAGCACTTCTGCAAGATGAAGCCTTGAAGAAAAGGCGTCCTGTTCTGTCAGGAATGTAGGACTACTTCTAATATAACAGTTAGCAAAACAAGAGGGAAGAGCCAAACTCTATCTATTGAAACTTAGCTATAGCAGAAGTGGAATTTGTTGTTAAGTTCCACAAAATTGTGATAAAATAACTTTTCCACTTACTGTAAGTGTCACTTTTGCAGGAACTGCAAACTGATTGTGGTTCTTATTTCATGGGGTTTACTTTAATGTTAAAGCAGCAGATGTGAAGACTTCGTAATTGAAACTTATTTTTCTCCCATTTATATAATAATTTCCTTCTGGATTTTCTAAAACAAGGTAATGGGTTTGTATACACTACCTACAGATCTGTAACATAGGGTTTTGCCTAGGTAAAAGCTTCTTTGTGTGTGAAAAGTGTTAAAAATATTTAGGAAAGATTAGAAATGTAATTTAGGTACATCCTTTCATGAGACCTTTTCTAGATAGCCTTAGCAGAACATTTGGCATTTAATAGAGCCATATACACAGCTGGTAATTAGTAGTCTTTGTATACATTTTGAAATCCATTCTGTGGTGTGTCTGTAGTCATGTGGCCAAACTATGAAACTTTCTGTAATAACTTCCAAGATTGTTTTTACAACACTATTAAATTACTTGATTCTTCATTAAATATGTGTTATAACTGGAGTATTTAAAGAGTTATGAATATGGCTTTGACAAAATACAAAGCTGTTATGTTGCATCCACAACAAGAAATAATTATAGGGCTGTGATTATCCTAGACTGACTTGCATAATACAATTTAATTAAATTTTAGAAAATTGTTTTCAAGGTTATTACAATCTTTTGCATTTATATATTTATTTCCCTCTTAAAACTGGCTGGTAGTATTTTGTCTGTGTATGCAGTGTTTCATCAGTAAAAACTTATTGTTTTTTCGAGGGGATTCAGTCTGAAAAAGATTACTGTTGGAGTGTTAGACCCAGGTCAAACACATAGTTTAAATATATTAAATTTAGATTTATTTCTGGGCGTGCAGTCGAAGGACAGTGGACAAGACTGTATGTTACAGAAGGCTGTATCACAGTTTATCTTTCGGAACATCCACTGCATACGACGTTGTGTAAGTGCAGAAATCTGAATAGAGTTACTGAAGTAATAAATGGGCTCCATTTTCCTTTCACATCTGACAGTAGGGTCACTTTGACAGTGATGCCCACCTCCTCCAATTTCAATTAGGCTCCTATTCTTTGTGTTGATCGCTGTAGACAGGTACAGGAAACCTCTTTGCAGCTTAAATAAGGAGAGAGCTGCCTTTATCTTTGTTCAGACTTTTTCTGTGAAGGTTAGTTACTTCTTTATACCTTACTTCCCTAAAAAGAGATTGATTCTGTTAAGCTGTACAAGTTGATTAGATAGGATCTGTCTCTGGCAGTGCTTTGCATTGTAGAGCGTGGATTCCCCTTCAGGTTTCTTCAGGTCTGCTTTTCTCTGTCTCTTGCTTAGATACAGACGTTATTGTCAGGCACACTATAAATCATGGCAGATAATTAAGGAACATCTTCTTTAGGAGTCTAAAGAAAACATAGGGAGTCTCAATCTGCAATCCAGCATTGGCTGACACTCAGACAACGAGGCATCTCGAGGCACTTTAGATGCCTCCAAACACTCTGTGTGAACTTCCTGCCATCAGCTGCTATGAACTTGCCTCTACTGATAAATATATCACAATTACAAAATCATGGAATACTTAAAGTTGTAAGGGACTTTTGGAAATTATCCAATCCAATCTCACCTGCCCAAAGCAGCATCATGTCTGGTCAGGTTTTGGCTGTTTCCAAAGTCGGAGACTCCACAGCCTCTCTGAGTGAGCAACCTGTTCCAGTGTTTGACCATTCTTATGGTAAAATTAAAAGACGTCCAGAATGGAGAAAGCCAGACAAAACATGTGAATCAGGCAGCTGCATGCAAGCTATTTTTATTTACTTTTTAAATAAAATCTTTTATATTTCTTGGATCAAACAAAGGCAAATAGAGTGACTATTCTGGCAGTATTAAACAACTGAAAGTGCTTAGGTCTCTAGCTAGATAAAAATTCCTGAGATTGCAGTAATCGTCCAAACTATGCTATTAACAAATGTTCCAAAATTAGCCTGACTTGCTCATTGCAACTGCACACTGGCCAATTGTGACCATTTTTTTCCTTAAGAGGAAATCTGTAGTAGAATGGATGGTGGGCAAATACCAGGTTTCTTAATCGCAAAGCCTTGATGGGAATGCATGAGGTCCTTGTTTGATGTCAGCCATGCACCACATATAGGAGATGTGTTTCTCTCTGTAAATATTGAGTATTAAAGACAGATAATACAGTCTCTCTTTTCTGCATTTAAAAAAAAATCCAGTTTATTTTGATTTACCTTATTAAATGATAACATTTCAGCTCCACACAAGAACACCATTTAACCTTCAGCGCATTTTAGCAGAACAGAATATAGTACTCCTGAAAGCATTCTGATGAAAATAAATAAAAAGCTGCCTGCAAAGCTGTGTCTGTAAGGGTATCTGTAGTATTTGTAGATACTATTATTCTGAGAAGCAAAGCAGAAACGAAACTTACAGGTTGAATATTGTTACTGTAAATGCATAGAGGAGAAAAATGTCACTGAGAATTTTGTGATGGGAAGTTGCCTGGGGATTGTTTTGTACACACTCCTTGGCCGTGCAATGGGGGCCAGTTGGTGTAGCACGGAAAAGTCACTGTTCCAACACATGGGAATGATCTCCTTTTTATCTTTCACAGTTTAAGCAGGTAGGCTGTTTTGTCCAGGAGAAACATACAACAACCAATAAGCATCTATGGATTTCGGTCACAATTTAAGTGAACCTAAAAAATGTTGCAGACCTTTGCCGATTTCTAGAGTGTAACTTTACTGTTTTGTTGCAGTCATGCGAGTCACATTGTACACAGTTAGTTTAAATTGAATTGGCTGTCAAAACACTGTTCTGTTGCAGATTTACTGGTGTATATTTTGCTATGCCAGACAGTGTAAGTTTCATATATATTCATAGCATAAGGCTGATTAAATGTATAGAGGGACCTAAGTGTAGAAAAATGTAGATAAACAGTAGCTTTTTCAGTTACCTTAATTTCTCTGTATGTTAGTTTAAGATTGCATATGTGAACTTTGGTAATTTTTTTTGAAAATGTAGAGTAAGAATTACTAATCTAGTACTTCATGGATAATTCTTTCAGGCTTGCATTGTGTCAAGACATTGCCACTCGTTTGAGCTTTGATGCAGCTATTCTAGTCTAATAACTTGTTGCCTCTGAAAGAGGCAGGCCAATATCCATCCCCTCATGCTTCTGCTGCTGCTGTTGTTTCCTTTGCATCATCACTGGTGCTTTGTTGACCTTGCAGTGAGGTGTATCAGGGAACTAAGTCAGCTCCTTCTTTGTAGCATTAGTTTCCTGCTGGTTTAGCTTTATTAGTTAGCTAATGTTGGAATAAGATGAGAGCCAGTGTAAGGGTAATAGTAAGGATAGATGTGTGGGAACAGGATTAGGGCGTCTCTTGGCTGCCCTGTCTGGTAACAGCAAGTTGCATCATAAAACGTTTCCCTCTGATATATGGAGGAATTGCACTTCACCGCCAAATTTAGCTCCGTATCCAAATTTGGGAGTGATACACATGGTGATAGCAGTTTGGAAAATTTGGTCAGAGAGTGGTTTTGAGGTATGAAATGGCAGAGAAGCAAAGCTGTCCCCAGTCTGGAGTTTTTGCAGAGCACAAATTCAGACTTACATAACCAGGTTCAATTTAGTTCAGAAGTGTTTTACTGGTAACACATTTCAGATGAGCTGTGGAGCCATGAAAATTATGCAGTATAAGAAGAAGAAATATGCTTCATTTCCATCTCTCTTGCACACACGCATACACAAGCTCTTTTCCTTCAAAATCTTTTCATCCTCTGTCTCTTTGGCTTGAAGTAATGTATCTTTTGGAAGTCTGGCAGCTGTCCAAAGAGCAGTTTGCTGTTCAGCTTCTTTTTCTGATCAATGTATTTGTAAATTGCATAAGAATTTGCCCAAGAGTTAATCCTACCATGTACATAAGTATTAGTCTAGACTGTACTTGCTTGAATCTTTTTATTGTAGAAAACAAAGTGAACTTGCACAATAGAAGATGATCAACTTGTGCTTAACACAGATTATATGCATTGATACTGAATAGAATGAAAAGATGCGTTAATTAATATAATAATATTCAATGAATTAGCGCTTTAAACTGTGCCTAATAAATACTACCATAGTACAGTAAATTTTGCATCTTTTTTATCAGGTTCCCTTATACAAGTCCCTTCAGTTGAGAGGGGAAAACTTAGCAAAGTTCGCCTGGGATCATTATCTTTGAAGAAAGAAGGAGAAAGGCAGTGCTTCTTATTTACAAAACATTTTTTAATTTGTACAAGAAGTTCAGGAGGAAAACTGCATCTTCTCAAGGTATAGACTTTACTTTATGAATCAATTTACAAAATGAAAACACAGCTCCAGTGAAATTTCAATACTTTTATTATTTTATGGCTTTAACCTGAGATTTGCATGGGTTGTTATAAACAGAAGTGAGGCAATGCACAGTAATTAACTGCTATATCCTCTCGTTGCAAATAATACAATTCAGCCAAAGCCCTTACTAACGACAATTGTTTTTTCTAGAACCATGTATTTCTAATAAGCTGGGGGCTAGAAACAAGATATTAGTGTATCTATTTGTATAAGCTAGCACTGAATGTAAGTCAGTTTTCGGTACATAAATCAGTGGATACAACCCCATGGAATTACCAAAGAATATTTTCCAGAGTTCTAATAAAATTGATTTTAAAAGTCAATTCTATTTTCCTGAACAGCAGTGAAAGCTCTTCTAAGAACACTCATGCTTTCATAGTGTTGGCTTTTGAATAAAGAGATGTTGATAGTTTACAGAGTGGATTATGTTGAATAGAATTTTCATTTGACAAAGACATTTCTGAGGGGTTAGCAATACTGTTCGTATGCCTTCTCACTTTGCACCCTTTAAATGGTTCAAATATTTTGCAAAGTAAATAGAGTATGCCTGAACCTTTAAAAAAATCTTGTTTGAAATTCAGGAGAAGATGAAATTCTAGTTACCTTTTCTGAAACCTGTGAACAACTCTTTATGTGAGATAAATTATAGTGTGGTAAAAATGAGAGAATATTTGTACATTTGAGTATATTATTGATGTGTTGGATTAAGAAAAACATTATATTTAATCTACCTGGGTTTAGTTCTTGAGGAAAAATGTGCATCATAAAATTCATATATCTTCCTAAGAGTTCTGAGTAATGTAAAATCTCAGAGTAAGGTATATCAGAGTTTAAAAATAGCTATAATGACAAATGGGAACAAATGTCAAAATTTGCAAAAAATGTGCTTTTTTTTCATAGACAGGAGGTGTTCTGTCTTTGATAGAGTGCACACTGATTGAGGAGACAGACGTGAGTGATGATGATTGTAAGTTAAATTCAGCTGTTTGTAGTAATTGCAGTTCCTAGTTTCTTAAAATTGGTACCCTTTGTTTATTTTTCCTAAGACCAAATCGATATTTCCTCCCCTTTCATAAAACCAAAGAAATACAGCATTAACCTGATTCAGTAGAATGGATATTTTAATAATAGGCATTCTGGCTTGGATAAGGGTTTGTTTTGTTATATTTGCTCTTGCTGTTGACATCCCACATAGGATTTTCAAGTAGACTGGCTGAAGGAATGTGATAAATTATTTGCTGACTTTTGTATACAACTTCACCCAGAGGCTCTCAGAACAAAAAAAAAAAAAAAAAAGGCCTTAAAGGAAGAAGCAGATAATTGGGTTTTTTAAATACATAGGGGTTGAGTGAGTTGGCAGAATTAGTGGAAAGTTTTTGTCTTGGGCTCCCTACAAATCTTGACTGCAAGCTTTTTCAAATGAAATAACAAAACACATTCCCAAGCTGATTTTATTGTTACTCATTTTGGCTTTCATCCTGCGGTTTTAGGGAAGCTTTGCACTTTAATTGTGAAAGTAGTTTCATTCATTTCAATTATACTTCTAATACGCTGAGAGTATATCAGTGTAGAAGTGTTAGAAAGACTTCAGCCTTATTTGGTATCTTTAAAAGTAATGTATAGCACCTCCCACTATTGCAGGTTTACAGCTTTTTTTTTTGTATTTTCTGTATGTGAAAAACACAATGAGTTTTGCATCCCCAATTGGATTTGCTCTTTGTCAGAGAGATGTTTTAAACTAACTTCCATTCTAAATGAAACCATTATTTTTTAGTCTTATAGTCTTAAGTCTCACATTTTGACATATTTCTTCCCCTTCTGGCTGTAAAGCAAAAGGTTCCGGACAAGTGTTTGGACACCTTGATTTCAAGCTTGTAGTGGAACCCACGGATGCTCCTCCTTTTACTGTTGTCCTTTTAGCGCCATCACGACAGGAGAAAGCAGCATGGACAAGTGATATAAGTCAGGTAGCTTAATGCATTCTTTATCTTGTTTGTATTAAGATCTTTGTTTATTCTGTATTTTTGAAAACTGATTCAAGAGAAGGATGTTGATGTCTTGAGGGATGATTTGCTATGATAATATGAAAAACCCTTAATTTTACCTGTTTTTTCAAAGTTCAGTCTTTGCATTTGAGTCACCATTGAAACATGTTTCTCAATGAGACAGATGGGATATAAAACACAAAACCGTCAGTTGACAAACATAATACTAATGATAGTCATTTTTATGCCTAAGGAGAGCCTATCCAGATACATATTGTGATTTAAGAAGAAGGATAGTATTTGTTTGTTCGTAACTTTCATACAGATAAAAAACCACCTGAGAGTCCTGAGAGTAAAAATGATACCATATCATATCAGTAATCATATCCCACGCAGTGAGAAAATGAGATAAATGCCATTTTCCACAAAAAAAGAGTATGAACAAACCATTATAAATAATTACTAAGCACTCTGACGGTGTGCAGGAACTGTCTTTATTGTGAATGAAGAAAAATGGTGTTTTAAAATACTCTAATGTCAGGAACAAAAAAAATATTTCAGTGCTTTTGGCTAAAAACTTTTATCAGAATATATCGAGGGGAAGGAAATTGAATGCACTATGAAAAATCTGAACTTTCAACTAACCAGGTCTGAATTAAGGCTATTGCTATTTTTGTTTATGCATGCAACCAGCAGGTACATAGATCTCTCATAGTTCTGAATTTGAGTCCTATCCTCTGTTACTTTCAAGATAAATAGTTGATTAGACAAATATCAGTGTGGAATTTGATGGATTTCTAAAGATGCTACCATTGCTGTCAACATCTCCAGATGAATTATCATCACAATGAGCAGAAGTTACTTAAAAATGAGTATTCTGAGTTACTTTTCTGGACTGAATTTTTTAAAGAAATAAAAATATAAAGATAAAAATCTTAAAATATGTTATGAGCTGCAACTCAGTGCATACAGATCTTACAGACAGACCTGGTTGGGGAATTTTTTACAGGATTTTCAGTGAATTATGTTGTTCCACTGACACGTAAAAGTATTGGTGTTATTTGTTGAGGAGGAAGGACTGTTTAAGAACTGGCCTGGAACATGGCACACCCAGGAATAAGTCCGTTCTTAGCCTTAATAATAATAATTTTAAATGAGAAAGTCACCTGCAGCCCGTGTAGACAAGAGATCAGAGTTTGGGTCTGCCTCCAAAGATCAAGTCTTCTCCTCTAAACCACTCCAGGAAGGGAAGCAAGAGATGCTGAGGGGATAAGCAGCAGCTTAAAACAAACAAACAAGAAAGGAAAAGAAGGGGCACAAGATGCTGTGCAGACTGCACAGGCATTTGGGGCACGATTCGGTGCTGTTTTTTACAAATAGCCATCAAGTCAGCTGACTTAATGCCTGTGGTGCTTATGGTGCATCTGGAGAGCAAGAAAGAAGGAAATAACACAAGAAGCACACCGTCTGCCTTCTGCTGGAGAAAGAAAGTTTGGGGTGAAAATTTGGACAGTGCATGAGAACTTCTAAAAAAATTGAGACCACTGGTCTCTTGAAAACCAGATTGTGTTTCTGACTGAGCCCATTGCCAGCATAAATGTTGCCATAGAAAATGACTGAACTGTCTTCCTAGAAGCATTTTTTTTCTTTCTAACCCTGGTTACAACCCTCAAGGAGAACATAGGAACTATGCTAACAAAAAGGGCATGTGAAAAGTACTTTTTAGTAAATATGTGTTCTCCTGTGTTTGCAAATAAAGTATGCATGTACTTGCTGTTTGCTCATAGCATTTAATAAGATGCAGAATTGTTTGCATCTTATTAAATCACATATGCATAAGACATATAACTTATATTTGTCTATATGTTCTTAGTGAGGCAACCTGAATTTATATTCCTTTCATGCAAACCATACCTTTCTTATGAAAAATGCATGTTTTTTCTTTATGCTGAAGAAGCCTCCGCTCTTCTAGTTTGAACTTGTTGTCCTTCAGCCCTATATCCCTGTTACTCTGATTCCTCAGCTAGAATGATGGTATCTGTCTGGGAGGTGATAAATGCCTGTGCAGACTGAGGATCAGAGCGCTGAATTGCCTCAGTCAGTTTTATGATTGGTGCTAAGGGCTTCTTTGCAACATGCAAAATTCACAGGGGGGAAATCAGGTGGTTTTATTAGATGTGTTTTTCTCAGTGCTTTTAGGTAATGATTTGATAAAATCGTAATGTGAATCGTTAAAACTGTGCTTTTCAAATAATCTTAAATACCTGAATTAAAAAACCATATATAGTTATGTAGACCATATTTTAAATCTATGACTATGTAGAATTGTAGAATCATGGAGTCATATGGGGTTGGAAGGGACTTCTGGAGATCAGCTAGTCCAGTTCCCCTGCCAAAGCAGGTCCACCCAGAGCAGGTTGCACAGGAACTTGTCCAGGTGGGTTTTTCAATGTCTCCAGAGAAGGAGACTCCACCACCTCTCTGGGCAGCCTGTTCCAGGGCTCTGCCACCCTCACAATACAGAAGTTCCCCCTCATGTTTAGGTGGAACTTCTTATACTCAAGTTTGTGCCCATTTCTTCGTGTCCTGTCACTGGGCACCGCTGAAAAAAGACCATCCCCGTCCTCCTGACACCCTCCCTTTAAGTATTTGTACACATTAATTACATCTCCCCTAAGCCTTTTCTTGTCAAGACTGTCCCTCAGCCTCTCCTTGTAAGAGAGATGCTCCAGGCCCTTAATCATCTTTGTGGCCCTTTGCTGTACCCCTTCCAGCAGTTCCCATATGTAGATATATTTAGATATATTTTAAACCTGAAGAGACCTCTCATTATCTTGTTTGACCAATCTAACATCTAACATGATTTTGCTATGAGACATTGTGAAGCCAGCTGACTGTTTTTATTCTCGAAGACAAAGTAAATGTATATGATAATTTTGGAAACACCTTTTTAATGGTCTAAATAAATAGTATTTATATATGTATGAAACTTGACAAATAAAATTTGAAAGTATTATGAAGTTAGGAGTCCTGTATTGTTAGGTGGCAGGTACTTGCTGCAGACCATATAAGGCCAACCCTCTGGCAGACTCTCTGCTGACTTCTAAGACCAAGGCTAGTGGTGCTGTGTTAACTATATAAAAGTACAAAACAAGATAATGGTGTACAAATGCCTTCAAGCTGCTCCTATACACTGCCAACACTGAGCTGCTTGGAGGCTTGAAGAAAAGCTTATGCACTTTACTTTGTAGACTTCTACTGACTGTAGGACAGCCTGTGATTTCTAAAGCAATATGTGCTGTGACCATGCCCCAGAAGTGTCTTTCCAACTTCTAATACTGAGCCCAAAATATGTATACAAGAATTTGCAAGGAAATTCTTGGACAGCATCTTCCTAGCTCTGTTTCACAATAACAGCACCACTTGAATTTGTTTTCAGAAGCGTATTTCTAGAAACTGTGTATATTTATCTTTGGTCTTTTTGCACAGTGTAAAGGTTAAGGTATTAGTGAATCTGTTTGTGTATAAAGTACTCCAACTTTCTTGCAGTATTGATTTCTCAAGCCGAACACTCATACAGGAAATGCTAGAGATACTTAATTTTGATCAGTTTCAAAGGAACTTCAGAGTTCAGAGAAGTTGTGGCTGCCCCATCCCTGGAGGGGTTCAAGGCCAGGCTGGACGGAGCTTTGAGCAACCTGGTCTGGTGGGAGGTGTCCCTGCCCAGGGCAGAGGGCTTGGAACTTGATGATCTTTAAGGTCCCTCCCAACCCAAACCATTCTATGATTTTATGATTCAAAGGAAATTTCACTTCCAACTCAAAATACTTAATCATGTGGAAAAAAGGAAGATAAGCTGAATACCCTCAGTGTGCTGGTAAAGATGTGTGGGCTTGCAGATGTGCAAATCAAAGGCAGAAGACTAGAAAAACTATAATTCTTGCATCACTGCTTTTCATTTATGAAAATACCTTGTACCAATCAGTCCATATCCTGTAAAAGCTATGCTTTACGCTTGCAGAGATATGAAAAGTGTGGAAGTAAGTCCCCCTACCCTGTGCTTTAACAGTTTTCAATGTTTATTTTCACAGTGCATTGATAATATAAGGTGCAATGGTTTAATGACCATAGTGTTTGAAGAAAACTCTAAAGTCACGGTGCCACATATGATCAAGTAAGTGCAGCTTTTTTTTCCCAGTGAACAAAGTAGCTTGTTTTAGCAAAAGAAAATGTGTATTTGGAGTATACAACCTTTAAATTTCTTTTTTGACCCATTTTTGTTGAATGATATTGAGTCTGCATCCCAAAACATATCTCATATCTTTTCAAATGTCTTTCTTGAAATGGTAGGGATGACTCAAAATTATAAAATCTCAAATCACAATATTGGGCTCCACAGGGCTAGAGCTCAGATCTTTCTATTATTTGTGAAGTTGCCTTCAGTTAATCTTAAATAATTTTATTCCCTGTTAGTTTTTCTCTGTCATACCACTCGTAATTTTATTGAATATATTTTAAAATGTGTTCAAAATTTAGGTGACTGCAGACAAGTATCATTTTCCAAGGTGTTTTTTTGTCTTAGCCAAAATTTTTCTTCTCTTTGTTTCTCTCATTTCTGAGAAAGTTGTTTTCTATCCTAATTTAAATTGATCACATCAAGGTACCATCATTAGTCCTAAACCTGCTTCTTCCACTCTTGGCTTCTTTCAGTCATCTAATAAGTAACTTTTATTTGTAGGCAGCAATTTTCAGTACATGGTTCCACATTTCTGACGCAATTTTACCTCTTGGATCCTCTACAGATCTGTGTTTACCTGAGTTTTGCCTACTATTACCCAGTATAAATATTAAAGAATAGAACATATGTGTAGAAATATAAGTATTTCTGTTCTTACTCTTTTCTGTCACTAGGCAATTTCTCTCCGTGCATTAAGGTATCTCAAATGCCTCTTTTGTAGTTGTTGCCACTACTCTCTTTGTATATGTTTAGAATTGAAAAAGAGGTAACATCTGTGAATACACTATTAGGGCACATACCTTTTATCCCAGGAAAGAAGGAATGTCTTCTTTTTTGTCTTCAGTTTTATTCCAGGAAACTCTCTCCAGTGTATAAACACTCCAGTTACCAGCAGAATGTTAAAAATACGTCACTGTGTTTTCATATTGTAGAGCATGGTCTTAATCGCAATGTCAAGAGAAAGAAACCTTAATTCTAAGAAACATACAGGATCTTAACAACAGACACAAACTTGGTGTTCTCTTTCTGTGATTCTACTCATCTCAGTTTTAGCACATATTGACCTTTAGAGTCAGATGTCTTTGGGTGACATAAAAAAAAAATGCCACATTTCTGAGGATCCAGCATAAGAAATAAATTTTTTTTGCAGTGTAGAATTGTATGGAATATCTTGGTGCTGTATTCTAAGAAAACCCAATCATTTTTAACAAAGAGAGCAGACAGTATTGAAAGATGCTTTGCTTAGTCTCTATCCTTTTTTTTTTTAAAAGTAAGCCTTCAGCTAGATAAAATTAAGCAAGACTTAATTTGGAAAAAAACATAATGAGTAAGGTTATGTAAATGATTGATTTTTGTTTCCATGTCCAAGCAAAAATTAGTCCAAATTTTTTTCACTGAAACAAAGCCTCTCCATAGTTTCTGCTTTGAAATCTGAGATGTTTCATGCTGTTCTCTTTTTCTTTTTTTTTTTAAATAAATAATTCTTGGAGCCTGAGAGCAGGTGTAACCTTGCAGATAAGCTTTAAGCTTAGCTCTAAGGGGTCAATTTTGCTGTCTTTTGCTAGAGTCCTTTAGTTTATTTTAGATAAATCTTGATCACCGCAGAAAATATTTTAATCAGTCCACTGTTATTCTATAGTGAGCTTCTAATAATATTGGGCTACAGGCCACAACAGTCTGAAAGAGACAAGAGAGGACAATTCTACCTCCAGTTTCTTTTCAGGAATTTAAGCATCATTAATGGTTTCTTAAAATTCAAAATTTAAATCAATTATTTGCCAAAAAAAAGTTTAAATTCCCTTATTTATGGCATAAAATATAACTGAACAAAAGCTGGTATCACCACAGATCAAGAGTTTTCTTGTGCTGATGAAATACAAGAATGCATATGTATGTGCTGCCTCTATGTTGACAGGAGCAGCTAAAGCGTACCATAATCACTCTTCGTCTTCAGTAAAATGTTTTAAATTTAATTTTTGTGTAGATCTGATGCTCGTCTTCATAGAGATGACATTGATATCTGCTTCAGCAAAACACTGAATTCCTGCAAAGTACCCCAAATCCGTTACGCGAGCGTCGAGCGCCTTCTGGAGCGGCTGACGGACTTACGATTCCTAAGTATTGATTTCCTGAATACTTTCTTACATACTTACCGCATATTTACTACTGCAGCTGTTGTTCTGGAAAAGCTCTCAGACATATACAGACGGCCCTTCACTTCCATTCCCGTCAGGTGAGCTCTGGGGTTTTTCCCTTCTATCACAGGTTGCACAAAATTTGTGTTTTCACTTAAATCTGTTTGCTGTCTGTTATGATCTTTTGGTGGGTTTTTTTTTTTGTTTCTTACTCTCAGGTCTTTGGAGTTATTCTTTGCTACCAGTCAAAACAACAGAGGAGAGTACCTGGCTGATGGGAAGTCACCACACCTCTGCCGCAAGTTCTCTTCTCCTCCTCCATTGTCACTCTCCAGGACTTCCTCACCTGTAAGAACCCGAAAACTGTCATTGACCTCACCACTGAATTCAAGGATTGGTGCCCTTGACCTTTCTACTTCATCTGTGGCAAGCAGTCCTACCTCGACCTACAGCCCAGCCACCTCCCCACCGCCAACGGGTAGCAAAGTACCACTCGACCTTAGCAAGGGGCCCTCCTCTCCTGAGCAAAGCCCAGGCTCCATAGAGGACAGCTTGGAGAACCCTCGCGTTGACCTCTGTAACAAGCTGAGAAGAAGTATTCGAAGAGGTATTATATACCCACAAAACACTGAATGTTACTTTTGATAGAGTAGTCTCTAAAGTCAGCTTGACTTTTCACAAAATCATAGAATGGTTTGAGTTGGAGGGGACCTTAAAGATCATCAAGTTCCAACCCGCTGCCATGGGCAGGGACACCTCCCACTAGAGCAGGTTGCTCAAAGCCCCATCCAGCCTGATCTCGACCACTTCCAGGGTTGGGGACTAAAAAATTCTCTAGGCAACCTGGGCCAGTGTCTCACCACTCTGAGAGTGAAAAATTTCTTCCTAATGTCTAATCTGAATCTTCCCTCTTCCAGTTTGAAGCCATTACCCCTTGTCCTATCACTGCATGCCCTTGTAAAAAGTCCCTCTCCAGCTTTCACATAGGCCCCCTTTAGGTACTGGAAGGGACTATAAGGTCTACACTTCGCCTTCTCATGTCCAGGCTGGACAAGCCCAGATTTTTTTATCAGATAACTGCAGACAAGGTGTTTCTCATGTCTTTTATTTTTTTTCCTCCTGATCACTGTAAGCTGTGTTGTGAAACCAAATATTCTGCTTCTACTTCTCTAGTAGAAGCTGCGGTGTGTTGTCTTTTTCCATTGCTTTGTCGCTTCCTTGTAGGAATAGCAATATTGCAGAATGACCTTGTCTATTTTCACTTCAGCAGAGTGTTAGGGCGAAAGGCAGAAGTTGTTTTTCCTGAGGTGAAAGGTTTTTTGGAGTTGTACCATTACTACAGAAAGGTAAAATATTAAGTTACAAAGAAATAGGAATGTAAAGACCTAGCAACTTTTAACGTTTACAGAACAGGGCTAGTTTTCCAGAAAGATTTAATCGCTGATCCAAACAAATAATTTATGTGATGGACTTAGTCATGTTGGTGAGATTTGAGATTCATACCACCTGCTTGTTATCCATCCAGAAGGTAGATGTCTAAAACAGATTAATTGCTCCTGTGCAAATGCCTGTTTTCCTCCACAGATTGTGTAAGGCACCTTGGAATAGGTGCTACCTCCAGATGAGGAAAACCTTACTATGGGCATCTGGAATGGGATCATTGCACATATAGATGGCAAAGAATGCACATCTAATATCATAGAATGCACAAGTGTGTGGTTATTTCTCATTGCACTTTGGGGGAGGGATGGTCTTCCTCTGAATTGAAATAGAAGTACATAGTAATTTTCTGTGTTGTTGTTACATTAAATAGAAGATGCAGAAATAAAAAAAATCTATATTATTCCTAAAATTAATGTTTAGAAATGGTCTTACATAGCCTGACTTACAGTCTGATGAATTTGAATTGTAATTCTAAGCAAAACGTAGCTCAATTTTACTTGTGAGTACTGTAACAATGAAAATTGATACAACCCAAGAGGAAAGAAGAAAAAGATTACCAAATATAAACTAAGAAAAATACAATTGAAGCTTTATGTCTGCTCCTTACTGATAAATTGAAATAAGTGCCCTGGTAAGAAATTTAATGTCTTGTTATGCAGAGGGATTGTTTTTACAGAATGTAGTATATTGTTTAAAAAAACCCATTTTAACGGGCAGGTTAGCAACCTTAACATTGTAGTAGTCTATGCTTGGCCATGCTTTATACTTTCATAAAATACTGGTTGGCTGTTACACTTAACCATTGCATTTCTCTATGCTGGACATTTTTAAATGAATAGCATGATAGACTATTTTTATATATAAAGTATAATCTTTAGTACATACAGTTGGGCAAATTCCTCTTATGCAGTAGTGTAACCACATTCAAATCAATGTGAGAGCACAGCATGTCCCAGAATATAGACCATGCATTAAAATGAATTGTACACAAGTAACTGCAGTCTTAGGTGTAACTTTTTTTGCTATACACTGTACATAAACTAGTAGGGACAGGTTATTCTGGCATAGTTTTAGGACAAGACGTTATTGCAGAGGTATTCAGATTTTGCATTCCGGTCTGTCAGAGCTGGAAGTGTCATCTGGGCAGTGTCAGGGACGTTTGGAAATGGCAAAAGCCTCATATAAATGCTAAATTGCTGTCTGTGCAGTGTCTCCAGTCCCTTTGGGGATCTCCTGCTGAGCTGTTTGCACTCAGTTTGGAGGAATTTGCAGCTAGATAGCTTTTTCTGAGGGGGAAAGGCCTTTTGTCACCCAGCTGCATATAGTGTGTTGAGGAAGAGGAGTAAGTTTAAAAAGAAGTCTCACAGGGAGAATGGAAATGAGTAGTCAGGAGAACTATAAAATACTAATCTGCAAGTTTCCTATCATATGTGATCAGCTTCTTCGTTTCTGAAATTTTCTGGGTAAGGAGAAAGGTAAGGTGGTTCTATTTAATCATGAATCACCACCCCATTATGGTTAATACTGTTGCTCTGGTACTGCCAGATTTCCAAGAAAACAACTATGGCTTAGATCCATTATAACCATATGAATTCTGTTCCCCAGGACATATTATTATAGTGGTTGTTGTTATATTGTCTCCTTAAATGTCCTTTTGTATCCTGAAATTTCCACCTTCTTCATCCACTTCCGAAGTTGTTTGCTTTCAAAGTTTGTTTTTGTTTTTCCAAAGGTGGTTTTTTTTTTTTTTTTAGTATGTGTTTTTATACATACAATACTTATGCTGCAGGTGCAGTTTTAATTCATATCAAATGCAGGATATATGTTAGCACCTTATTTTCCCCTATTTCGGAAGTAGTATTTCTACCATTCCTTTTTTATTCTTCTGATAGAAGAACTCCTCCATGAAGTAATCTGCTGTCCTGTGCTGTTTGGCCATTTTACTAGGGAGTTTGTGATTACATGTGGTTATCCGACATCCGACATTAATTTCCCTAGCTCATATAAAACCTATAACTTCAGGTATCCTTCTTACACGTGTGCTTCACTGCATATTCTGCAGTGACTTAAAGTGCAGTCTTATCCAAGTTATTTTTGAAACTGACAACGTGCTGTGCTGTTTTTCACCAAGTTCTTTATTTATGAGCTTTTTTGTGGCTTTGCCGTTGGTACAAAACTTTCCCAGTCCTTTAACTCCATCCAGAGGATAATTATGAGTCTTCTTAATGCAAAAGATTCATGGTAAGTTCCAGAAGCAGTACTGTTTAAAACAACTATAAACCACAGATTAGATGTAAACAATTTTGTGTTAGATGGTATTTAAGGGTATTAGGTTGGTATTGAAACACTGGTATTAAGTGCTATTAATTAATGGCCATTTTTAAAATATTACCTTTTGGTGAAGCCCCCTTCGGTGTACATATTTATCAATGCAATCCAGTTCAGGTTGTTCAAAGCTGATCATTTTCAGACTTTCTACCATTTGGTGTTTGTAAATTGAGAGTCCTGAATCACCCACATACTCTCTAATCTCTGCAGAGGCTTAGACTTAGACTTAGACTTAAGTCCATATCTAAAGTAATCTGACTATACTCTGTGCTTTTAAAAAAAAAAATCTTAAAGCCCCATACTGGAGTTTCTATGACCTCTTGATATTTTCAAAGAACATTTATACTTGATAAATACATTAATAGAATAGAATAGATTAATTGATACTTTAATATTAAAGTTGTTATTAATATCATATCACATACATTAAAGAGTTGTAGATTATGAATGATCATCCCAGTATTAACATTTATTCACTTTTAAAGCAGCAGTTCTAGAATCTGTGTCAGTGGACCGGACAATTCCTGAAAGCACCTCAGCAGTGGATACTACAGAGCTTTCCCCATGTAGATCCCCCTCAACACCACGTCATCTCCGCTATCGTCAACCTGGAGGTAAGAATCTGATGTTTCTTGCCTCTATCAGTCACTTTAAAGATTTTAAATAATGTAGCTGTAATTTTTGCAGGATGTTAGAAAAGACTACTGCTTGAAAAATGTGCTTTTCTTTTATTTTCCTTATTTCTCAGGTATTAAAAAGAAAAAAAAAAAAAAAGTGCTGTTACAATATGAATTACTCTGGTTAATTTGTATAATAAGGATGAGGTTTAGAAGAATAGTGGACTTTGGTATGATGAAACGTTCTTAAATAGTCCGAGCAAGGTGTGCTGAAATTCAAGACTAATATGAATCAATCCTATTTGCAGATTTCTTTCAGCTATGAAGGGGACATATTTTAGGCACCATATGTAACCATGAAATACACAACACCCATTATTGTCAGTGGGGAGTGACTGTGTCTGTTTCTTTGTATAACACTGAACATTTACAGATGGTGTCACATTATTCGTTCCAAAATTTGAATAAAATTTCCTCAATTGAAGAGGAAAGGTTAGAGCTGGAGCTCCTCAAATAGCTCTCACGTGGCTCTTTGAAATCATCAGCAGAGCTGTGAGCTACGTCCATGAACGCTAAAAATGCTGCCCTCTCATGCAAGCCAGATTTCTAGGCAGTTATCTCATGTCTGGGATTAAAACGGCAAAACCTGAGCAGAGTCTGTTAATAAGTTGCTGAGACACTTTAATTTTAAACCAATGTGCTATTGGGCATGTTTATGGTGAGATGGCAAGATGTGGGATTTGGAAACTGTGGGGAACAGTGCCATATTATCTGAGTACTTGGCAGAAGCAATGTTCACAGGACCCTCTCTAGAGAAAGTTTGATAAGTTTGGCAAAACGGTACTCATCCTAGGCATTGACCTGGGAAAACATGTGAATATAGTTATCAGAAGTTGAATAATATGCTTATTTCTCTGACATGATTTTTTGTTTAGGTTAATTCTCTCCACCATCAGTCTTGTGGTATTTTTTTCTTTTTCTGTTTGGTTACTGCTTGTTCCTCACCTTGGCAGTGTCTTAGAGATTTTTTTCCATAGCAACATTAATTACACCAACCTGGAAATTAACTTAAATCACAAATATGATTATGATGTTTTTATTTCCGTTAATATAAAGTCCTCTGGCAATGAAAACATCAAGTGTACACAAAGTATAAACATCAGCGAAGATTTTAAGCATTACGGTTGCTTAGTTTGAAAAATACGAGAAGTATGTAGAGGTGGTTGACTTCTCTCTGTTCCCTTTGCAGTACAAACTGCTGACAACAGCCACTGTTCCGTTTCTCCTGCCTCTGCTTTTGCTATTGCTACCGCCGCAGCAGGACACGGGAGCCCACCAGGTGAGAGAAATGCGCTGTACCAGAGAGAGATAACAATAAGATACCCAGGTCTCAAGAGGTAAATATTTCTAAAGAACGCACTTACCTGAATCCTAAATAGTCTCTGATACGTTACTTTAATCTGCTGGCGTTTTGAGTCTGGAATCCTGCCCTTTGTGTGGACATTGCAGTACAGCACCCATAGATAATTGAAGCCTTTGCTTCCCATTTTGTGACCGATAGGAAGATATTTGTCATGTTACTCCTTTAATTGAAAGTGACCCATAAGAATGACTAAAACGACTTAAAACAGACTGTTCAGGTACATCCACCCTGTTGCATTTCCATTTGGCTGATGAAGCAATATATGTCACCAAAGAGTAAAATCATCTTTTAGGCTGTTTATATAGCACCGTGTCCTGGGGAGTTGCCAGCAATGATGTCTGCTTGAAAGAAGGAAAGGATGAGAATGTATTTGTAAATATCATTTAGAACAAAACATGAAACCTAACAAATGAGGACTGCATACTCCACCACGTACCTTCAAGAAACTCATGTGAGCTTTGTGCCTTTGTTTTGTGGACTCTAAGGAGATTACCAAACTGGTCAGTGAGGTTTTGAACTATTATGGTATAAACCAACAATAGCTTTTCTTACTGACTTAAAACAGAATTATATTTATCACTCCACATCATCTATTAGTTGAATTCTTATATTCTTATATTCTGTCCTTCTAGGCCAGTCTATTACTGAAAGATTAATATTTTATGTATATGTAATCTGCTTAACATCTAGATCATATCCTTCTTGGTTTTATTTTTTTTTTTATTCACTTGCGACTTAAGATTTTATTTTGGAAACAAGCCTTTTTATATCCAAGGTTGGTCTACATAAGAGCAGTTGTACTTAACCAAATTATTACAAATGTGTACTACATTTTCCTTGGAACGAAGCTGTGTTGTCTACTGACTGGAGGTATTTAGTGCAACTAAAATACTGGATTTAAGTTTTGAATTTGCTTGCTGTCTTGCTGCGTGCCCATGACATATTAATAATTTCCACTAACTGAGCCCTGTCCTAGGTCTCATAGAGAGCAAATTTTTTAAAGTCCACAAAACCACTTTCACTTTGCAGTGACACACTCAGACCTGTAGTTCATTTGGTTATGTACAATAAAGCATAGTCCAATCATAAATTAACATCTGCCTCTTTTCCATCGTAAGTGTTGGAATGTCAAGAAACTGCTTTGAAGGCCCTAGTTTCAAAATCACTCCTGAAATTCTATGCAAGACAGTAAACCATCACCATTGTTTTCAGTGGATTTTGTATCCACTGTGTCTAAAGTTGTGGTCGTTCACTTGATGAGTGAGTAGGCATCATGAGAAAATAATTTCTGGATAAACATGGATCAGTGCTTCTATTACTCTTGTGTACTTCCTGTGATCTTTAGATTATCACAAGAGAGTAATGCTCAGTTTTAGGAGCTTTATGAACCTGTCATAAACATGTATTTACTACATTTCTTTGAAATGATGAATATCTCCTGCCCCGTCAGAAAGCTCTGTAGTCACACAGTCTATCAGAACCAGACATGACGAATGTTTAATCATCTCCTGTGGAGAGTGCTGGCCATAACATTTTATAATTGCTGCCACCATGCAATGATCAGTTTATATACTGATAGGCTTGCAAAGCTCTGAAAAGCTCTCCCAGGCATATGATGGCTTTGCTTATCTAATGATAAGCAACTGAGAGAACACAGCCTATGTTGTTCTTCTCTGCAGGCTTCATACTGCAAGTGGTTTGATGGGAAACCAAAGTTGAAAGACTTTTTCGGTGCTTCGGTCTGCTTTAGGTGTTGGTGCAATTTCCCTTTTGGATGTGGCCTGAGTGCAGTGCATGTTGGCAGTGTTTTCAGTCTGCTCCATCCCCACTGTGTGGGGGTTGGTGCTGTGCTTCAGGGAGCTCGATAGTGTTTTGGGGGCACCCTCATCTATTGGTTTTATTTGTTATCTGTGTGCATGAGGTGCGCATGTAGGGCTAGCAGGGCCCAACTTACGTCTCATGCTTGGGTTACCCCACCACACTACATGCTGTACTAGTTTATGAGTTGCTGAAAAGCATGTGCTGGGCAACACAGCATTGCTTCACAGCATGCAGAGCTTCCCTCGGCATGTGAAACCTTTCTCTGAACCAGGGTGGTTTAGGTTCTTACACCCTTCAGCAGTTTTTTTTAACTTACTGATTTTATTGCCGTTAATTTCACTGGTTTGACTGCTTTTATGATGCCAAGCTGTGCTACCTGTCCTACTGTTTAGTCCATCTGTCTAGTTAAATATTAATCTCTACATAGCTTAAATGTGTTTTTGTCTATTCTCCTTCAGAAAACTTGCATACTACTTGTTTATTTTAAGAGTGTGATAAATAGAAATGTGAAGTGGAAGTACAGAAAGCTAAATTAGGCACCCCAGGTGCACAGCTTGGTGCCTGCATGAATGATAATATGCCCAGTAGGGGTAAAGAGAGCATGTGTCTTTTACATGTTCTTTCTCTTTGGAGGCAGGTGAAGGATAGCTGGATGGCTCATGGCTTGCTGCAGTTGCAGTGCTCTGTCACCATTAATAGATCACTGCACACCTTCAGTCTTTTCCCAGCTTATAAAAATAGGATAGCAATACTCACACATTCTAACATAGAAATGGACAGGTCAAATGATCTTTGTTCTCCAGCTTCCTTTCATGGCGATAAAGGTCATTCTTCACCAAGGGAAGAGACCGGTTATGCAAGCATCCTTCTCCAGAACAATGGAAAATACCCAGTTTTCATGACTGGATGTAAAATAGTATAAAGTCAAACTGTTGGTACAGGCCCGTGTTTTCTTTACTTACTCTGAGTTACCATTTCCCTTCTCATGACTCTTTGTCATGGCTCCTAGCACTTCTGTTCACCTACATGCTTCTCAGAGTGGTAGATATACAACACAGGGGTCATCTAGCAGCTCTGCTCCCATGTCTGCCTTAAAATATAGAAAAGTTGCTACAAAAGTTTTAATCTTAACAGTCTCATCCTAACGAATGTCCTGCTAATCTCTTCTTTTAGCTTTGCAGTGAGAGTTAGGTAGTCCTTTGGTGGAACTCCAGGGAGCTGCAGGGAGAGCTCCCTGTCTCTTCAGGACTTACTTCCTTCTCTTCTCTGAGAGACTGTCACACAGCCAGTGTCAAAAAAAGGAGTGAGACTGGTAATGTGGGAGAGGAACCTCCTGCCAAAATGCTTACCAATCATTTGTAGTTTTGCTGCAAAAATCCTACAGATGTTAGAGGAGTCGAGTAACGTCAGTATAATCTATACAGCTTCCACACAAAGCCAGCAATTTATATGGAAAAGTTATTTCTTTCATCTGTGGCTTGTAGAACTTGCAAATTTCCCTGGTTTACCTTTGTACAATTCTTTCAAACATTACTACTTTTTTTTTTTCCTTAACTTTTTATTTATGTCTGTTGTGCACAGAACTGGGGCACTATCTCAGGATCAGTAAGGTATCGTACAGTTATTTAAAAAAAAAACAAACATATTTTGGTGTTCATTTACTTAAACTGCTTGCTCTGCATCCAAGTATGAAGTCTTATACATATAAACTATGATGGTGCTCTGTGTGACTAGAAGGGATTCAAGGTTTACTTAAAATCTCTGAATAGTTGCATGGATGAAGCAAAATTATCAAAATAATACTGTGTTATTTTTGCATAATGAATAAAGTACTTGCATAAGCTCAGCAAACGTACAGATTTCTTTTCTGCTAAGAACATTTAGCACAACTTGAGGAAAAATAGTTAACGTTAAATTGATCATTTTATTTTGAAACAGTTCTGCTGAACACAGCTTTCAAGAGATTGTTTTGACAATAACTTAAATTCAAAATCTAAATTGATCTTGTATGCTGTTTGTATTTTTTTTATATTCTTACATACTGAAAGAGCTTTGAGAAGCTTATTTCTTCCTCTAACTCAAACTGGAGACCAAAAAAAAAAATTGCCCAACGTGGAAAATAAATGTTAGACAAGAAGCAAGTACTTAAACCCAAACAAACGGGTCGTTCCCTCATGAACATAGCAGCTTTATTTCTACAGCTCTGTCATCTGAATTTTGAGCTGGGTACGTCAGTATTTCCAGCGTGCCACATGCTTCCAGGCTGCCTTTCCCCTCCCACAGCATGCCGATCCGCGCTGTGGAGAATGTACCACTTTTCGCAAGAACAAGGTGACATATTATGGGAGAGGATGGGAGTGGGATGGAAGCTCGTGGTTGGCAGGAGGGCCTGGCTTCTTCAGTATAAGCGTTTGTTTTTTTTGAAACGCATGTGAAAGGGAGAGGGGAGAGTGAGATAGAAGAAGGGAAAAAAGAGTCTTTTGGGGGAGTATCGCCGACAAATATGATTTTCACGTAGGAAAATATGCCCCATGCTAGCAAGGAGGAAAGGTGGTTTTATTCTCTCAGATTTTAGTGATTTAAAGCAGCAATTAAAGTAACAGCTTGAAGCTTTGAAGCCTCCACACAAAAATGAACCACTTACTACTATCCCTTTCAATTAGTTGCCTGCACATATCGCTGGTGCTAAATTACCTTTGACTTGAGTTATTTACCTGAGTATTGTTCAGGAGAGAGAATAGGGGAGCTGCATTTTGCAGCTTTTACCCTTTCAAAGAACATTTCAAAGGATGCCTCAAATCCTTTCTTATGCGGAGAAAGTGCATCCAGCTCCTTCCCTTTTCATTAATCCACTCCCCTGGTTCTGAGAAGCAATCTCCATCTAAGTCACCTCTGGTTTTAGTCTAGCAGAATTGATCAACCTGTTTACCAGACCGTTTCTGGTACTCTCTGCTTTTCTGTAGCTCTTTACAACCTGCCTGTGATCAGACAGTCCTTTGCAGCAGCAGCGGACCCTCCGCACAGCAAGCTCCAAAGCTGCTCCCTTAATGTGCTAGCTGCAGATGCTGAATGCGAGTAGCATCTTCCTTCAAAGC